TCCCTACCACCTTCCTTCCCACCTCCATCTCCGTCAACCTCCCTCCACTAATTCTAAATATGTTGCCACCCATTCCTCTTCCTCCGCCCCTCTCCCCCTCCCTCTCTTCCTCCCGCCTTTCCTCTCCTTCCTCCCCTCTTCCTTCCGCCCTTCCTCCCTCTCTTCCTCCTGCCCTTCCCCCTCTTCCTCATTTCCTCTTTTCCTTCCTCCTCCTCCGCCTCCTCCTCCTCTCTGCCTTCCTTCCCCTTTTCATCCTCTCTTTTTCTTCCTTTCCATCCTCCTTCCAAACTGTCCATTTTATTGGCTCTCTACCTCCCTTTGTCCTTTCATCCTTCCCTTCCATTTCCCCTCTCCTTTCCTTCGTGTCTTCCTTCCCTCTTTCATTCTTTCTTCCTTCCTCCTTCCTATCCAATATCATTCCCTTCCTTCCTCTCTTCCGCATCCTTTCTTCATACCCTCCCTTTCCCTATACCTCTTTCCTCCCTCCCTTTATCCCTCCTTTCTCTTTCCCTCCCTCCCTCCGTTACTTTCCTTCTTAAGTCCCTAAATCCCTCCCTTTCTCGGTCTCTTCCTTCCTCCCTCCCTTCCTCCCTCCCTCTCCCCCCTTCTTCCCGAAATCTTCCAAGAACAGTGAGACTCATCCACTTGACTTTCAACCTCGAGTTTTTATTACCAAATCGAGATCTACTACAAAATACCTTTCCTACAGAACAATAAAATCCGATTATACTTTTTTTTCCACGGGGTCTCGGGAGTTATAAAGTTTCGTTACTTTCCTCCGCTGTAATAAACTTTCATTAACTTTCTCTTACAAGGTTTATACTTTCATTAGCTGTACTTATTAGAGGTAGGACTTGGGTTTTTTTTGGTTTTTGTCTGTTCTATAATGTTGGTTTTTTCTTAGTTGGCTTTCCGTCTTCTATTCACGAGAGAGAGAGAGAGAGAGAGAGAGAGAGAGAGAGAGAGAGAGAGAGAGAGAGAGAGAGAGAGAGAGAGAGAGAGAGAGAGAGAGACCTTATTGATCTAAGTTGCCAATGGCGTCAAGAAATATTACCAACGGTATTGAAATCTGTATCAAAGACTTGTCAATGTTTATATATCACAGGGCTGCCAACTGTATCCCTTCCAGACTACCAACCTTACTCTAAAGATGTACCGAGATGTGTTATAAACCTACCAACATATGCCACAAGGCTGCCAACATTCGTCACTCATTGTACCACTACTTATCACAAGGCTGCCCCAATTTTTTTAACACAGCAACATCGACCACAGAGCTATCAACGTCATCTATCACAAAATTGCCAACATTTATTGCACAGACACCAAGATTGACAACAGGACTGCCAACAATCACAACAAGACTACCAACAATTTCCTTCACTATCCTTAACATACACCACTGGGCTGCCAACATAGATCACAAAGTTACCAACACTTACCCACAACTTCGATTTGCTAACGAAAACAAGAGAAAACTGTCATTACATCGTCATAAAAATGGTAAAATCGCGGCAATTATGAAAGGGAAAACAAAGTCAATCTATTTGCATATTCAGATGTTGACTTAATAGGCGAAAATTGCTTCATGTAAAGTTTGTTCAAGCCAGAATTAATGAGGCAGATTTTTATTTACGTCCAATTCTTCCGCCAGGGACTAGTTCATGGTGATGTAATCTATTGTTTAATGTTAAAGTTGGAGTCAAGATTATTTTGTTTTTGGTGGACATGTTTATTAGATTTTTGACTCTGGCAAGAAATGTTACAATCGGTGACCATTGTTAATACAATCAGATTCTGATTACTTTTAGCTAAAGTTGTTTGATTCAACTATTTGTAAAAATATTACAATCTGGGTCTTGTAGTCTTCATCTCCTGCTTGTCTTATTTTTTTATATCCTTATGTTTTACAATACTTAACTTCTGTGTCTGTCTGTCTGTCTGTCTGTCTGTCTGTCTGTCTGTCTGTCTATCTGTCTGTCTGTCTGGCTGACCAATAATACTCTGTATCTTGTGTTGGTTGGTGACCCCTCCTCCAGGTCTCCCATCTCCCCCTCCCCACTGGCCTTGGCTGCAGTAAAACCTTTACGATTTTCTCCTGAGAACGTGTGTGTGTGTGTGTGTGTGTGTGTGTGTGTGTGTGTGTGTGTGTGTGTGTGTGTTCGGCTTTGCTCTCGGCGCTTAGATCTCAAAGTTGGTCTTTAATTTTTCTCGGAGACTTTCAGAGACTATAAATTTATCTATTAATTTTCGTGTCTGTTGGGAGGAAGTTGTCAGCTGGCTGTGTTAAGGTCCAGGAAGTGAGAGTCGCCTCGCCTCAGGGCACTACTTAAGAGTCCAAGTCTTCCACCATTAATGCGCTACCTGGCTGCTTTATTTTACCATTCACTGATTAAATGGAACAAGATGGTGCCCCTTACATCACTGCACCCCCTTACATCACTGCACCCCCCTTACATCACTGCACTTGCCATCACCACCCCATACATCACTGCTTATACATCATACTTTACCCACATCCTGCACCCCCTTACATCCTGCACCCACTTACATCCTGCTTGCCCATCACTGCACCCCCTTGCATCACTGCACCCCTACATCACTGCCCCCACATCACTGCACCCCCTTACATCACTGCCCCCCTTACATCACAGCACCCCCAAGATCAGCCCAGGGGAGAGGCTGTAATGATGTTGTATCAGCGCTAATGATCCCATGTACGGTAGGGGAGCAGGTTAACATTAATCACGCTGGCAGGTGAGGTCACAGTGTCACCTGGGTTGCTATCATGACCTGACCACATGACACGACGATGCTACATTGGGCCCGTGAAAAAAAATATTATTGCTAGTCGGTCGAGTCATATATCAGTACTACGTGATAAATACTTCAATGCTTTATGATAACACTGACCCTCAACCACCTCGAGCAGTCTTTGTGTGTGACGGACAGACAGGCATTCAACCAAGGACAGACTCAGACATTTAAGCAAAATATAAGCAGCAATCACACACACACACACACACACACACACACACACACACACACACACACACAAAGGAGACAATGGAGGTTCATTTGCTCTCTTGTTTACATTTCATGACAAAATGACTTGGTGATTCTGGTTCAGGAAGACAGTGAGTCAGTTATGTCTAATATTTGTTATTATTATTATTATTATTATTATTATTATTATTATTATTATTATTATCATTATTATTATTATTATTATATTGTTGTTGTTGGTTGTTGTTACATTTAATCCCATATCAATTTCAATTAATTTATAAGTTTCATCAATCTAAATTAAATTATTCTGATCTTATCAACATAAGAACTGAGGTCAAGAAATATATAATTTACTCAAGTCTTTACGAGAATTTAAATGCCACGTGGTATTTAGACTATCTTTAAAAATACGTAAATGTATGAAATTAAATATGTAAAATATACAATAAATAAGGGAATATTACATGAAAATAGCTGATTGCAGTGAAAGAGGAGATAATCTGTGTTTGATTTTCATGGTTA